CAGTGAATCCATTGAAACAGCCGGTTCTTCTCGACCGACTTTAACCATAACGCTACCTTCGTCATATCCGATGGCAACGTTATTTGAACCTCGCATGCATGCTATGGTCCATACTCTTTCGAAGCCATAGTTAAGGGAAGATTCCAATCTGTACATTCCCGCATGCCATATTCTAACGGTACCATCCTCTGAGGCCGTGAGAAAGATCGGCAATTCTGGATGGAAACATACAGCGGAAATATTTTGCGTGTGGCCCCCTAAAGTCTGCACGCAGGTCTTATTTTGATAATCCCATATCTTGACGTATCTGTCATCAGCTCCCGATATTAGGTACGGCTTATCGCCACCATGGTAATAATCCACACAATTAACACCTTTCTCATGACCTTCCAAGGTAAAATTAGCCGTGGACGAACCAAGCTGCCACACTTTGAGTGTTCTGTCGAGGGAAGCACTGGCAAAAGTATTGTTGTCCTTTGGATTAAATACGATCTGCATGACATAGTGTGTGTGTCCCTCGAATACTTGTTGACAGATCCAGGACTTCTCCCAGTTCCACAATTTTATCCACATGTCATCTACAAAAAAAAAAATCATTGCTACATTATAAATTGTATAGGAATAAACTTAGCTTTTAAGAAGGTGGAATGGCTACAACACCTCAGATATAATTTTCTTTAAAACCTTGTTCTGAGGAAAAGAAAAATAAAAAGTATTACCCAAAAGTTTTAAAGTTCATTATTTTTATTTCCCTCTATCTCATAAGGATCTAATTAATGTAAATTTAACTGTAACACAATATACTAATAAAAAATGTAACTACAAAATTAAAAATTTTGTTGAGAGATGTTCCGAGTACTCCACCTACCAACTTGTGGGTATCTTTAATAAATCATTTTAATGCCTATATCTATCAATTTAGTTTAATTTTAATCTTGGTTCTAGTTATAAGATTTAGAAAAAGAGTAAGTTGAATTGAGATTAAAATTAATTTACATTAATAGAAATAGACATAAACTACCTAGCTACTTAATCTTATTAAAAATTTGACAGACAAATGAGTCTTTTAACTTACCACTACTTGTAAGTATGAATGGCTGCGTCGGATGCACGGCTATACATCTGACATAATCGCTGTGCGCCTCAAACGAGTGAACGCGTTCCAAGGTATTATAATTAAATATTCTGATCTGCATGTCATCGGAGCCAGTGATGACCCAGTTCTTACGTGGCACGAATTTCGCCGTACGTACCGGCAGGTCGCACACTTCAAATGTCTTCACCAGGGTCTGCGTTTCATGGTTCCAGATATTGACGTGGCCTTGGTATAATGAACAGAGCATCCATGGCTCAGTCGGATGGAGATCCACACTCTTCACTCTGTCTGATCTGGCCGTCAGCTTCCGCTTGATGTCTAATCTTAGAGGCTAAGACAGAAGATGCTTGATTTACAATTCGTTAGGTTTCATATTGTATTTTTTGCTGTCATCGAGATTATCATTCTAGTAGTTTTCATTCCAAATGTATGCACGTTACGTTTATGAGATTCGCATTTAGAGAATTTATTCTTCTCATGAAATTCACATAGAAAAATAAGATATTTCTAATTACGCTACGCGGGTGGATTTTTTCATCATCCTGAGAAGGGAATGGATGTTTTGACGTGTTCGACGAGAACAAATGTCAACGCGACAAGCACACGACGTATTGTTACTCTGGCATTGTTGCGTGTTGACTCGGTTTTCCTGTGTATGTAAGATAGCCTTGCGTTGTTTTTTTTTACGTACCATCTTGTTGCTGTTGATTATTCACGATCCACTATTTCAAATGCGAAATTATCGCTGTGGCTACATTAACGAGACTCTAAACACGATATTCCTCCCATGAAGTTAGGACGTGGCCGATGCCGCGAGCGAAAATGGCGCCCACACACGGCAAATGACATTACTCGTCGAATAAAAAAAAAAGAATTTATCTTTCGAGCACATGATATCATCAGACAGCTAAAGAGAAATCTGAGAGCTAGTATCACCGACGATCGATAATTAAACTCGGATAATAACATTAAAATCACAATTTTATAGCGATTTCGGCTGGTAACACTGGTGTGCACTGGTGCATATTAAAACCGTTTTACACTGTAAAATATTGATCTTTCGAATTTCTCTATTATTTCGTAGTACGTCTTTCGCGACATTCGGAAATGACTTCGAAACTCTAAATAAACATTTTCTGTGTAATAATCATATTATTATAATCGATCTAACCTACAAAACTGAACTGTTTTATTGAACGTTTTTCGCACAACCTCTTCAATGTAATTTTAACTTTTAACATTTGTTCTTTTTTTTTACGTTCTATCAGGTATGTTAATTCATCATCGCACTTGATGACGATGATGTTAACAATTTCATGAGCACATATAAATCATTCATTATAACGTGAATAAGCTGGTGCTTTTCATACTGACGCTCGACGCTCATTTTCAGTGTCAAAATAGAATATATGATCGAAATTGATGTTAGACAATGAAAATGCATGAAAAGTATGTAGTGCTATATATATGTGTAGAGACGCTAGTGTCAAAATTTATATCATGTGCTCACACTCATGCTGTTTTTCAGCATCTCATGAAATGGCACCTGTACCGACAACTACACCAATTGGCCCCAACAAATTTGTTGGGGCCACTTTGTGTACACTTATGCGGTGTATGTACATACTGAGCCCAGACGAACATGTGACACTGACGAAAGATTGCATCATTCGAGCAGCCGAACACACTAGTTGCACCAATACCCGAAATGTACAAGCCATGTTCCGATATACACTGCCAGTACTGAAAATCTACAGTACACGTAACGTGAACTAAGTAATCGTGAAAAAGAAATTTTTATTCTGTGAAACCATTATGAAGAAATTCGACAGGAACAAAAACATCAAAAACGCTAGTTTTATCGGTAATACAGGCGACTCCAACATCCCCTTAATATAATTATTAATTGACATTCAATGTTTTTATATCTCAGATATGTAATACATATTACATATCTTATTCAGATTGACCATGTATCATGCACACGATATTATAAATAAAATTTACATCGTTGACTGCAAATTTTATTTATATAATATCGAGTGCATGATACATATATGGTCAATCTGAATGTTTGAATTGGTCTGAATTAATATAATACGTAATCTATAAAAGTATTGGATGTCAATTAATTTGGCATTCTAATATTTTGTATTATATTATAGTGTTCTACAACTACACAATTATGCGAAGCTATCCGGAAGCGCATTGACGAAGAATACGAAGCAGAAGTTGGAATTACCTGATAAATCGATATGTAAGTGATATCGTACTTAATATAGATTTTCAATAACGATTTATTATCTGTTCAATAACGATCTATATTATAATTGTGACAGATAATAGATCGTTATTGAAAGTATATATATTAAATATATCATTCATATACTGATTCATCAGTTAATTGAGTAATTCCAACTTTTGCTTCAAATACTTCCTCTTGTCAATGTGTTTTCATATCAATAATCTTTATTTTTATTTTTTAGACAAATGTTTGAAGCAAGTTTTAAGAATGTCTGTAAGACGTCATAAAAGGACAATGTCTGTAAGATAATTCTGTAAAACGTTATAAGTCACAAGTCTGCAAGACGTCTTAAGGATAATGTCTTTAGAACGTCATAAATCGACGCATAAGACATCTTATAGACATCATTCTGATACTTCTAAAAAAATGTCTCATGAATTTTAGAACGTCTTTAGGATATCTTATAAGACACCTCAATGTTCTCTAGGTATTTATAAGATAAAAATTAGTAAATAAATCTTCAAAAATTACAAAATAATTTCACTTTTATTTTATCGCATGTTTGTCTAGTTGTATTTTGATTTTTGATTCTTCCTTTTCTTTATTTCCATGTACGAAGTGGAACAAATTGTAAAACAACCCAGTTAATGCTAAATATTCCTGAAATATTCATAGAGGTTCTTAAAATCCCCAAAAAATATTCCAAGTTCCAATATCCCAAAATATTTACAGAATGTATATAAAAGCAACATTCAAATATCAGTTAAAAATTCATTTATATATCGTTGTTTCGAGAATATTCCACATATATGTTTCGCAAAATTCTAATTTTTTCTAGAAATTCTAGGTCGGGTCGTTTCTGAATAACTTTTTGAACAAGATTATACTGTAAAGATCGGTAGTATCGTAATATTTCAAAGCTCATACCTCGAAATGCACTTAACGAAAAAATATTTTATTAACAGCGTTTTGTAAAGCTCTTGACATGAATTACAAGAGTGTGCAATAAAAAATGGGGGATTTCATTCAAAAAACTTTATGCAATCTTGACCTGACCTTAAGGACGTTTTCTTAAAGTCAATTAAGGTCACTATCTTCTTTCCCCCTTGAAACCATAAAACTTTTGTGTTTGAAAGATTTTTTGAAAAAACTTCTCCCTTTCGAAATATTCAAGTGTATTGATTAAATAGTCTATCCTGTATATGGAAATAAAAAAAGGAAGAATAAAAGGAAGCAAAGAAATATTTACATATATATACTAATATTAACATTAATAATTAATAAATAATTAATATTATTAAGAAAATGAGCTTTATTTTATTTCCTTTTTTCTCTTTCTCCCTCTTTCTTTTTATTGCATTCTTCACGTTCTTTGCCATTGCGCGTCATCTTTTTTAATTAATGCTGACTAATTTGCCGATAAGAGAATTTATTACGTAAAACATGTTTATTCATGACGTGTTTTTACGTGTGTGCGACAAAATATTAATTTACATGACAGATCACGTTTAAATCGGCGGGATAAATTGGTGACGAAGGATCAATAATGACGCATTGTTACGATTGATTTCGCTAGCGTTGCCTGGCAGTGACACGTATTCGATATCGAATTTCCCTGATTATTACGACGAGAGGAATGCGTAACGATATATTCAATCGAGGAAAAAAGCGGTGCAGGAGCACAATCGGACATAGTCGAGACGAGTTCTTCAACAAACGAAAACTGTATTTGTAGCATAATGTCGTTTGCAATTTCACGTTATGTTTTATATCAATATCTTCTTTTTTTCGGTAATTTGAGTTTCATTGATACATTTCTCGCCGAGTTTGATATGAGTTTTATTAATCAATCTCACGGATATGTAGATGTTTTCTGAGAAAATGTGAAAACAACTTGTAAAAAAATTAAAAATCTTGCAGTGATCAGGATGTGCAATAAAATGGTACTCGCGCTTACCTCGGACGACAAGGGAGCATTATATCAGAACTGTACGATTTTCGATAAATCGGATATATACGGCGGTCCAGTATGCGGCGACAACGGCGTGACATACGCTAATAGTTTTTATTTAGATTGTAAAAATCACCACAGTCGCGAAACCGGTAAGTTAATCTTTTTGTTTAAACTAGCAAAAATTAATGTTGTATGCACAAATATCTTGGAATTACAATGAAATATTAATGTAAGTCACGCGCGTGTTTCATAAATTACATTATTATAAATATTTTACTTTAGAAGTTTTATAAAATATTATATGTATCTAAACACGAATTGATCAAAATAGCAAAATATTTCTTAAATATGTCACTAATTTCTTAAAATGTATTAATTTCCATATATTGACAAAAATTAATAATTAATAATGCCAAATTTTGGAATAATAATGAAATGTTGATACATTAGAGATACATTGTAAATCTTGTAAAAAAGGTTACACATTTATAAAATTTTGCTCGATATTTTTTCCGGTGATTTAATATTCTTTTCAGTTGCCACCTTGCACTCTGGCCCGTGCTTGGAAAACAAGGATTACTGTAGCGTCAATCTATATTATGATCCAGTTTGCGGTTCGGACCATAAGATTTATACTAATATGCAATCTTTATTTTGCGTTCGTCAAAAGCAATCCAAAGGTAAACGCAGATGATATTAATCGTCTTATTTTTCGTGTGTATATTTGATGTATACATTTAATTTTAAAATATTAAAATAAAAATTTAATAACGCTAATGTTAATCTGCATCGAGTCTTTTTTTCCGTAAAAAAATTACTGAATTTATAAAAAATTTCTATTTATTGAGAGAAATATTTTTCACTATTTACTGTACGTTGCATCTTTGACTAACTACAGATAATATATTTTATTTCAGAGATATTGAATTAATTTACAGATTTTTAATATATTTTATTTGTGGATTAATAACTGCTTTGATTCTTATCTTTTTCATTTTCTGATTTATTCTCAAAGTTCTCTCTTTTAATTTTACATTTTTGTATAGATTTTTAATTTTTATTAATCAGAGTTTTTAATTTAATATAAATAAGCCTTAATTTTCATATGGAAAGAACTTTACTAAAGTATTTAAAAATTTTGTTAGATATGCAGATTTGAATATACATGATTTTGTTTGGACCATCAAGTAATCAAGTAGGACGCTTAAATTAGTTGCTAGAATATTAAAACTTTTTAAAATATTGTCATCATCATCACGTTTGGGTGTTCTTGTTAGTACAATTGAGTCCAAATTGATTTATATATTTTCAGTGTTAATAAATGATTTAATCTTTTTTTAAGATTATGAGGTTATCGTAGCAACAAAGGGTATGTAATTAAAAGGGTTAAATTATTTATTAACACTGAAAATATATAAATTGATTTGCAATTAATTGCATTCAATGTGCAGTGTTGCACTAATTTTCCCAGTGGAAAACGCTATAAATTTTTAGATAGGTACTTCAGCAAAACAGAAGATGACCGTTTTCCGTGTTGACTTGCAAAATGCGAGCGTATTGATGTTTCGATCATACTTTGACTAATCACTAATCACGAACAAAGAAATTTTTACTGCTCATTCAATCGTGAATTTTTTTCTTTGATCTGTTTTAGATTTAACAGCTGTACCGATGACAGACTGTCCACAGAACGATTTCTGTTACCGAGGTGGAACCGAACGTTACGGGATAAATCCGATCTGCGCTAATAACGGGCTAACTTATCAAAATGCGGCTCAGCTCAAGTGTCTGCAACGATATAATTCCGGTAAGGGATTATAACGGGAAGTTATGCGGAAGCGTTTAGTTATAACTCGCTTAATTGCCAGCAAGTAGTCGGAAATAACGTTCAAACTCCTTCGTGCGCCAGTACCTTCGCACTCTCTTAAGTCTTGTGTCGTGTTGGTGCTGAATTAATTTAGAGTCCCACTTTGAGCTAAATGTTTCGTCGGCATAACCCGGTTATCCCTCTGTGGGCGATGGATCACGATTTACATTCGAATCAAGATAGTTGCCTGACGTGGACGGCAATTGCAGATTCAGACTGCATTTTCTATTAATGCACGGAACGATCGTAGCGAGATATTTCCGAGATTTATTGTATACGGTTATCGTGATTCTTAAAACAGAGAAATTAGAGCAACCTAGAAATTTATCTCGTGACGAGACTAAAGAGCACTGAGATATTTTCAAATATAAAAATTAAACTTGAGTGACAATCGTAAAATCGGACTTAAAATTGAGATTAATTTGAGATTAATTTATATAAAAAATTTGCAATTATATTTTCGCAACAAAAATTTGCTATAAAAATTAATTTATTATAAATATAAAAATCATGTAAAAGATCGTTGAAAAATATTACATGCGTATCATATTTATTGTACGTTCGATTAATCATGAAGCACACAGCCTCAAAATTTATTTTATTTTTCTAGGATTGCAAATTATTCACGACGGTGGTTGTCGCGTGGAATTTGTTCATCAGCTTTATGGTACAGCGGTTTGTGGCGTCGCGAAAGCGAGATACGAGTGGAATCCGGTCTGCGCATCTGACGGAATCACTTATCCAAATCCTTTCGTCTTTCTCTGCTATCGCCCACGTACGTAATAATATATTCTATTATATAACATAATAAATAATTTTTTATACATTTTATCGATGGATGCTTTCACAAATTCTGAATCGATTTCTCCAAACGATTGTAATGTTAAAATACTGATAAAATTTTATTTTATACGATAGTAAATTGTCGTTAATGTAATAAGAGCGTAGTTCATCTTTATATAGGATGTTTCAGAAATAGCTGGCCAAACTTTAAGAGCATATTCCATTCATTGTAAGGATGAAAAAAATCATATAAATATGGGTTCGGAAACGCTTCCTTTCCAAGTTATAAACATTTTTTATTTACTTAGATGTATATTTTCATTACCGAAATTGCTGGAAATGATCGTCTTTGAAGAAAGATTTGTTGATAGAGACGTTGAGCTTCTCTGCAGTTTCCATTAACTCGCCCATACATGTAATAGATATTTGCCAATTCGATGTTAGAATAAGCTGCCATGTTGATGAATACTATCTTCACTCTTAAATGTTTAAATAAAGCCTGATTCCAATTTCATACAGACCTCTCTAATAACTTTCTGTTTATTTTAGAAGGTGAATAAAAGTACAATTCATGAAACATCGAAGCGAAGCATGTCGTCCGACGTAAATACGTACAAACAATAAGAAATGTTTATAACTAGGAAAGAAACCGTTTCCGAACCCATGTTTATATGACTTTTTTTCATTCTTACAATGAGTGGAATATGCTTTTACAGTTTGGCCAACTATTTCTGAAACACCCTATACAACAAAAATTTATTTATAAGGGTTTTCATTTAAAAAGATAAATTTATTTTGAGATAACTTTCATTGATTATTTAATACAAAAAATATAGATATCATTTATGCAAAAACTAATCATTTATACACCGTATAGCTCGTTTCTTCATTCAATACTAGCCCAAAGTTTGCGAATGTAGCGAATGTAGACTTTTTAATTTGGAGAGTGTGCAAATGTATATAGCTTACTTTTTACCCCAGAAAGTCTGCGAATGTAGCTTACATTTTTAAACGCAGATCTGAACGTAATTTTCAACGGAGAGTGCGATACACACAGCTACAAATCTTGCATAGAGGCACATACAAATACGACGGTCTTGCCAAACGGCGAATACACGAACGACGCCTTCACCGCGGACGATGAGGTTTGCGGGAACGACGGTCGCACGTATCAGAGTATACATCACTTGCAATGCCATACTCGTCACGATAAATGTGAGTTTTGCGTCGCAAAAGAGATGAAAAGAAAAAGACTCGACGCCGAAGAGACTATTTCAAATTGCATAGAAGTATGCTGGTCCAATTGTTAAACACATCGCTGATTAATATCTCTCGAAATTCAGTTATTTTCATTACGCTTTATTTATTCAGTAACCTTAGAAAAAAAAAGATAAAAAATCTGCGCAGAAAATTCAAGTTTCGGTAAAATTTACATGTGCAGAAATTTTTTTACGACTTTTATACGCCAAAAAATTTAAAAAATTACTTTATTTAAAAATCTACGTTTTCCATTTTTATACGGATTTTGCACAAATTATTACACGAGAATAATGATATCTAATAAAAATATTTTGTACTTGTGTTAAAACCAGTTCTTATAAAAATTTTTATATTGAATTTTTAACATATTTGAGTGTTAATTTAATACAATGTGACTATATTATTATATTTGAATATTTTGTATTAAATTGATGTTTAATAATGTTTCTTAGTGTTAAAATGACATAATTTATGAGCAAGTAGATAAATAACATTAAAATAATGTAGTTAAGAATGAAAGATAAATGTTATTTTAACGTATTATAAATATTAATTTTACTAAAGAAATGTGTTCCCATAATTTGATTCCAAATTGTATCAAAGCGTTACATTTTTGAGTTACCTAATTTTTACATAATATTTGTGTTATATAATACTTTAACATATTCATGTTACATTAAATTACAAAAAATTGAATGGATCGTTTAGAACACATAAAATGTCAATTAAGAGATAATATAAATAATTATAATTGTTTATTATACACCTAAAATATGTTGAAAACACAAAATTTCTAACTGTTATTAATATCTTGTAGATGTATTTTTGAAGCATCATGGATCATGTTCTGGACCGGATGATCATCCTTGTGGTTCGGTACCGGAAGAAGAGCACAGACAACCAGTATGCGGTACAGACGGTAGATCCTATGTGAGTCCAGAGGCCCTTTGGTGCGCTAAATTACGTTCTCCGGAAAGAGGTGAGATTTGTAAACCATATCTATAATAAATCCCGGACGAACTCTTCCCTTCATAATGCTCGCGTTCACGCGAAGGCATTTTCACTTGAAATTCTCTTCGCTCATTAACTTGCTTATGTCGCGTAAAATTATGTATACACGCGCTTCGTGTAATTTCGAGTGTTGTCTCTACGTGATACGCAGATGTGGATTTTTGACATAACAGGAAAAATATAATTTTACAGTAATTTTCGGACCTATCTGAAGTATACTTCGTTATGTATGTGCGTCAAACGGAAGAAGCGATCTCGCGAGATAAATTCTATTGAGCTGTATGTAAAATTACGTCGCAGGACAAATCGCGACATTCGTGTGTGACGTTGACAATGTTTGACAACGTTGACATATGATTAAGATCATATCTCATGCATACTTGTATGCTGAAACGCGACGATGATGTACACTGCTTTCCATTTGATGACACAAATCGACACAAGTCGACACAAGTATCGTTCTATCCTTCTTGACATTCAGAGAGTGACAAAGATAGAACGACACTTGTGTCGATTTGTGTCGACTGTGTCTTCTAAAAGGAAAGTAGCCGTAGAGAATACAGGAGATGCCGTTTGTTTTCGAGACAAAAACGTTTCTCGATCGATAACCGATCGCACCTTTAAAGCTGAATAATGAGACGTTCTCCTTTTTACAGATATTGCTTACAAGCACGACGGTCTATGCTAATGAAGACATTGTCCGAAATTGCTATATCATCACGCGCGTTTGAAGAATGCGTCAGAAAAATGACCGTGAAAAAAATAGAAGTTCTTATATAATTTATAAATATTTTTTACAAAAACTTTCTGGATTTATATCGTTATTTGTATCTCTTCTCCAAGATATTACAACCGATATAAATAATAACAAAGTTTTTATATAAAATATAAATTGTATAAGAAAGTGATTTTAAATTAAATATAAATATGCAAGTAATATCAATAACTTCCTTTTATCGCTCTGTATAGAAATTTATTTGTTTTATTTATTTCTGTCATGAAGATATCAGATTTGGTTGAAGCATAACTTGGTAGTAAATGTGTCATACAAATTTTTTTAGCGAGTTAATTTTGTATTATATTTTATAGTTAGAAATTATTATATTTTTTAAGAGTAGTTTATTTAATATTATATTTAATATATTAGAAATCTAATTATGATTTAAGTATAAAGATATATTATATGTATAGTATAGATTTTAATTTTTATCTCTCGAATCATGTCACTTTGGTAATCTTTTAGAATATTTATGATAAAGAAAGAAAAATACAATATTTTAATTTTTTCAACTTAAATGATAAGATGTTTATATGTTAATATTGTAGCAGCACTTTATTAATCTCAAAGGAGAGAGAAGAATAAAAATAAAACTTTAGACATATAATTACATATTATAATTAACATAATAATAACTATATATAGTTAATTATAATATATTATAATTAATTTTCCAACTTTCTAGCCTCGTTACTCTATTATATATATTATATACATTAGCTGCGTCGTTTTTATTATATTTTAAAAATATATATTGCCTCTCATGTAACACGATTTCATTATGAATTATTAAAAAAATTCGAAAAATATTGCAAAAATAAATACGTACATAAAAAAGTCAATATAATATTAACTAAAGTTACATACAAAAAACATAAAAATTTCTGTACGTTTACATGAGAAAAATGAAATATTTATTTTAAAGTATCAAATCTGAGCAATTGGCAAAAAAGATCAGAAAGATCAAACTATTAATATTTTGGACCACATCTCGATTTCTCTTTAAATTTTTAAACCTTTCTTGTATGCATCGCGAGTGTTAAAGAATCGATAAAACCATAAATACACCGAGATCGCTACTCGTTTATTCAATTGTGAATATTGTATTTGCTACCTTTTTTAATTAAAGAATATAAATAAAAAATGAAGTTTAGCATTTACTATTCTGTTCCATTTACATCAACGTGAGCCTAGCTATTATTCTTCTTATTACTGTTCTTAAATTAGGTTGTATCTTACATCTATTTATTCCATTTAAAAGCTTATTGCATTCGCAGAAATGTGTATATATGTGTAAATACATGTGAGTATGTATGATGTGTAAATACACGTGAGTGTCCGCGATATATTGAGCTTGAGTTTGTGGGTTCACTAAGCCTAAATAATTATGCGGATCAGTCATCCCAATAGAATGCGTGCATGATGCAAGGTAATCTTGTAGAACGTCATCTATAATTTATCCGAACGATGTTTCTCCACGTATTGCAAATGCCGTTTTCAAAGAGAGGGACGAAAGAACAGAAGCTATTTCGAATGGGTTAAGGTCGTCTCCAAGGCTATTCTTTGAACGATCGTCGCAGTTCCGTAAAAGGTACATAGACAAAAGAGAAAGAAAACGAACGATGAGCAGCGACAGCGTGTTATATGTGTATATATATATATATATATATATA